AAGTGCAATAGAAATGTTAGCTATTACTTTTAGCAAATGTTTAGCAAGTAGCTAGTTTTGGTCGTTCTTCCCTTGGTATTAATTTGAATTTTTCAAAACCCCAAAGATTATTTCCTAATTACCTTTATACTTAAGACATGAAAAACATCTAATAAAAGCAAGTATCTTAGGGATCATTTACTTTTCTGTCTAGCTATTGATTACATTAATGTCCCAGGGATGTGTCATTGGTCCTCTTCGAAAATGAAGAACAAACAACAATTAATGTCCTGACTTCTCATCCTTTTTGATCTTTCTTATAAGTTTGATGGAAAAATTCAACCAACATAGGGCCCACAAGGTGGGAAAACTGGCATGCTGATCTAGAATTCTAGAGAAAGGTCAGGACTATAAATACAGATTTGAGAGAAAATCATGAAGAAGTGAGAATGAATGAGGTCACTGGGTTAGAGAGTTTTCTGTGAGATGATAAAAGGTTCAAGAACCAAGCTTTGGGGAAGACCTACATTTAGAAGGAAAGATTAGGAGAAGAAACCATCAAAAGTGGCATAAAAGGGGCAATGAAAATAATAGGAGGAAAACCAAGAGCAGTGCCTTGCCATGGAAGCACAGGAAGGAGAAAGTTTTCAAGGTGATGGTGAGCACTTGGTGTAGAAAGGTTAAAATAGTCGTGGACAGAGAAAAATCAGATTTTCTGACTTGAAGATCATTGGTTATTATCAAAGGAGCAATTCAGCAAAGTTGTGGGAATCAATACCAAATAGCAACAGGTTTAAGGAGACAGTATGAGGTGGAGAAGTAGAGGGGCATTAATGGCCTAGCTTCTCTATCATTTCACTCTTTTGAGAAAATTTGGTGGGAGAATTCAACTCATAATACAGTCTTGAAAAGGGATTAAAAATTAGAATGCTTTGTCCCTAAACCTTGAACATGCCATCCACCTATCTGCCATTTAAGGCATTGGGAAAGGTAGGAGAAGAAAGCAGAGAAAGGTATTTAAGGATGGCTGTGAGAAATTGTTTTGTATATATGATACATACACATTTTGCTTTCAAAAAGGAATCTCTAAGAATTTTAATTACATGACTATACCCTAGATTTTGGGCATTAACAGGTAAATGTTAATTACAATTTTCAGTAGTTGCAAAAGTGCAACGAAGGCTGGAGAAATGTATAAGACACTATTTAGCCGCTGTTTTTAGAAAATGGGCATCTATATACAAAGTTTCTTATGCATGCTCCTTCCTTTTCTTGCCTTTTGTCCCTTAGATTGCAGTTCTGCCTATAAATCTTACAGGAGAACTATCTAGGAAGGTGCTTGAATTGGTCTGGAAAAGGAATCACCTTGATTGAAGGTCATTTTCTTTTCTTATGTGTCTGTCCTGGCTCAGGAGCTCTGAGATTTCTCTCTTCTCACCAGCACAGAGAGTTTTAATCAATTAATGTTGATAACAAGAAAGTTAACACATCTCATCTGATACCAACCTGGAAAAGATGCTCTTCTGAAATGGAAGCAAAACATAAAAATCATTGAATTCTGCATTTGGAAGAAACAATAAAGAAGATCCTATCCAATTTCCTTCTTCTACAGAAAGTATTTAAGGTTCTAAGAGGTCTCCAGTATTTGTCCAAGATTACCTAAGGGCAGAGGAGGATCCAAGTTTCTAAGGCTCTATTTAAGACATCACACGTTTCTAGGGTAAAAGAAGAGTGGTATGAGGGAAATGTTATTAATGAAAGGGCAGCAGGTCATTTCATCTCTCTAGGTCTCAGTGGCCTTATGTAAAATTTGGGGTTTGTATTAGAAGGATTAGATGGAAAAACTTTCAGTTTTGATAAAAAGTATTTTTCCATTTGTATAGGCTGGCAAAAATGATATTGATTTATGGTCAAATTTAATAATAATGACAATAATAGCATATAGCACTCTAAAGTTTGTAAAGCACTTAATATTTGTTTTCTAATTTGGTCCTTATACCAGCCCTATGAAATAGGTGTTCTTATTATCCCTATTTTATAGATGAAGAAACTGAGGCAAAGAGATTTTAAGTGACTTGCCTAGGGATCATATGGCTACCAAGCATCTGAAGCTGAATCTGAACTCCAAGACTGCAAGTTCAACATTATATCTACTGAGAAACTGAGATGTCTGTAAAGCATTACAGGGATGGTTTGGGAGTTCTCAATATGAGAAGAATTGATTACAATAAACTAACACCAATTTATTAAGAACAAGTCATGCCAGAGTAACTTTTTTTTAATAAGGTTCCTATACTGCTAAATTAGAAGGATATTTTAGACATACTCATAGACCTGAATTTTAGCAAAGCATTTAATGAATTATCTAACTGTATCCTTGTGGACAAGATAGAGAGATAAAAACTCAATGATAGTATAAATAAATGGATTTTGAGCTGAACACTTGGCCTAAAGCTTATTAATTAAGTGATTGGCGTCAAGCCAAAGAGTTTCTGGTGGAATATGTAGGACTCTTTTCATTGTGTTCTGGTCAATTTTGTCATCATTGGATTGAACAAAGGTATAGATGGCATGCTAATCAGTTTTGCAAATAACAGGAAGCTGGGAAGGATGGTTAATGTGCTGTTTGAAAGACTGAGCATCCTCACAGGTCTTTGTATGTTAAAATAGTTGACTGGGATTGATAAGACACACTTTAATCGAGATCAATGTAATGTCCTTCAGTTGGGTTGAAAAAAATCTACTTCTAATGCAATCGGTATGAGTCAACCATATGACTCATCCAAAACAATCATGGGTTATTTGCATTTATGGAAATACAGCACCCAAAATAAAACATGTGTCCTAGTCAGTCCATACCTAGAATGTCATGTTAAGGTCTTGGCACCATGTGTTATTAAAGACATTGCAAAGTGTGTCCCAAAGGAGGGGAAACAAAGGTGAACATATTCAAATTCACCTTATATTGAAATCATTAAAGCATATGTAAAATGCATTTGATGTTTTTAACCTAGAGAAGACAAGGAAGAGATGATTGCTCTTTTCATCTATTTGAAGGTCTATAATGTGAAAGGATTACCTTTGTTCTACTTGGTCCCAAAAGACAGTACTAGAATTAATAATAGGAAGGGAAAAAATTTTTTGAGACATTCAGAGCTTTCTAAAAGTAGAGTGGTTGCTTTGTTAGACAGTAGATTTCTTATCACCTAGATGATTAAGCAAGGGATAAATTAACCCCTGTCATATTAAGTGGTAGGTGGGACTAACAATTTAGATATAAGTGGGCCTAAATGACCTCTGATCCTATCCAAATCTCGCATTCTGTGATTTTGTTTCATGGTTGTTGTGGTTTGTTCTTCATTCTTGAAGAGGACCATGACATCAGGAAGATGATGACATGACTTGCAAATGAATGGATTTAAGTGAAGGAGGGCTGTGCTAAGTCACCCCAGGCTCACTTTCTCCTCCAGAGCCATCTGGGTCCAGTGGCCAGATGTACATATATATACATACATGTGTATGTGTATGTATATACATACATATATTATATATATATATATATATATATATATATGTGTGTGTGTGTGTGTGTGTGTGTGTGTGTGTGTGTGTGTATACACATAAAAAGTCAAACTGGGAAGGCAAGTCCTTCAGGGTTGCTGGCCAAAAGAGAAACAATTACTGTTTACATTCTATCTAAGCCTGGAGGGCCCAAAAAGTAACCAAGAAGTGGTGCTTGGACAGTGACCTGTTGTTGTCCAATCAATGAGACGCTGAGTGAATTGGGCTTAAGGCATGGTCTTTAAGGAAGAAATCCAGCCAGTACACCCCAAGATAACTAGGTAGGTTTCAGCCATCAAAATTTACCTTCCTCTGGGCAGAACAACCAATGTTGGATGCTCCTTCTAGGTCTTAAATTGGTGGTTTTACTTATGATTCCTGCAAAGTATGCTGATAGTCAGGAAGCTTTACGAGCAGAAATCAGCCAGAATGATTATCTCGAGCCACCTTGAGATAGTTATAAGTAAATGGGCCCCTTGTTTTAGGATCAAAGAGTTATTAGCCATTCTTTCCTGTTTTACTCTTATTCAATCATTGGCTTTGACCATATATATAACAAAGTACTTGCTTAGATCTGTTTCTTAAAAAAAAAAGATTGTAACAAAGATGATGGTAGAAAATTAAAAAAAAACTGATCAGTTGAAATAAATGAAAGCAATGATAAAGATATATTTTTTAAAAAAATAGACAGAATGGTGGCAAATCTTAGGAAACTTAAGATTTTTAAATGAAAAAGTCCATTTTGATCTCTTGTAATCCATTTTTTTCGCATTCTTATATCTCTCCCCTTCCATTTTCATCTTCCTTAAAAACAACTAAACAGACCAAAATGTAGTTACTATCATCCATGAACTTTAAGGTTTATTGACGTTTTCTCCTTTAGTACAAGTTGGGGATTATATTTCAGGTAAGGGAGCTTGCAGTATATTGTCAAAAGGGCATTTCTACCACAGACTCCTTATTTCTGTTTCTGGTCAGACCTCCTAATTTGGCACTGTAATTTCTTGCCTCCTTAAAATTTTCTTGGATTTATCTGAAATGTCACTAATTTTAATAGCTCAGAAGTAGCAAGACTGCTTTCTGGCCATGCCCTGATAGCAGCATCAAAGCAAGGAGCTAGAATTTTATTCACTTTGATTGATGAGCTCATTTTGGTACAGAGGACAAATTGGATTTTTTTATAATGGTGATAAAAATTAATGTGTGATGTTGCTATTCGGATGTTATTGGATCTCTGCCTTAATACAGATTTCAGCAATAAAAGCACTAACAGATATCTTGACCTGAAAGTTACCCCCTTCTTCTTTGTAAACTACCCTGAAAGGTAACTTACTGCTTCCCAATTTTGTAGTCTTTGTCCTTTGAGGTTTTTTTATTTTTTTTGAGGAGGGTGGGTGAGAGTAGTAGAGATGATTGTGTCTAGCTTCCATCTTATGGTGTTCTTTATATTCTTGTTTCAGCACCTCCAAGATTTACTCGAACTCCCGTTGACCAGACAGGGGTCTCTGGAGGAGTCGCTTCATTCATTTGCCAAGCAACAGGAGACCCAAGACCGAAAATTGTCTGGAACAAAAAGGGAAAAAAAGTCAGCAACCAGAGATTTGAGGTATTAGGTCCATTGTTCTGTTCCTCTGGGAAAAGGAAAGGAAAAAAAGGTCTTTTAAAAATTGGGTTTGGTTTCTGCTTGTTCATTTTCTCCAAATGAAACAAGCCAGAGTTACCAAAGACCAATCGACCTATGGGGAAGTTGTCTTTAATTGTTTGTCCTGTGTGCTGGAATGAGCGATGTGGCTAAATGTGGTAATACTCTGACAGAAATTTAGAGTATTTATTGCCAATCAACAGATTGGATGAAGCAGCTCTATTAATTAAATCATTTCAATCCACGGTCAAGAAAAAGTATGTAGCCCAGGATTTAACCTGAGCAGTGATTCCTAGCTCCCTCTGCCTCACCATGTTTCACACCAACTTTCCTTGAGAAATAATGACCACTGCATCTCTCTTTTCCTTTGTTTCCAATTGTTCTTTGCATCAAAGGTTTCCAACCTTTTCCCTACCCTACTTTCTCTGAAATAAACATGCAACTTTTTTAGGTGTTCTAAGAAAGATTTTCATGGTAATAACAGTGAACATGTAAGGACATAGAATAATACACAGTAGGAAAAAAATCATAAAACTACATAAAACAATTTAAAAAACCCATAGAGGTAAGTAGCCATGAGTCTTCAGTTGCAAATAAAAGTTCTAATTGGAGGCAGGCCTTTGGTCTTCTCACTCAAGTTATTTAAGATCTCATCCTTTCTTTCAGTGTTTATTTTTTTTTCCTTTCATAATTATACCACCTACAGCTTCTCTGAGGTGGCTGTGGGATCAAGCTTGCAGTTTTGGCAAGGCTGCTACTATTCTCAGTCCATTTTAGAAACTGGTTGCCTTATGGTGTTAGGTACCTGCTGTGAAGAAGGCACTTCTCTATCTGGCTGTTAAAAAATCCCTCCAATAAACCTGAGAATATTCTCCTTTACAGTCACTATTTGTATGGGTGGTTTGGAAGTTATTTTCTTGGAAGGCCCTATACATGGTTCCTACCTTCCCAGCCTTGTCTTATGACTCCCCTCCAAACAATCTATACTTCAGATAAACTAAAACGCTTTGTCTGCTGAGCATGTGATCTACATCTTTTGTTCTTCTCTGTGCCTTGAAGGTTCTTCCTCCTCTTTTTACTCATTGAATTCTTAAACTTTCTTCTTTTAAAGCCTAATTCCAATGCCACCTACTTCAGGAAGTTTTCCCTGATGTCTTCTTACACCTCACATTGCGCTTCATTTTGTACCTCTCTTATACATCTCTCACAAATATAGGTCATCATAGTTATTTGTTTATGTTGTATCACCTTACGAAATTGCTAACTCCTTGAAACTGAGAACCATGTCTTATGTTATATCTCATCCAGCACTAAGCAAAGGACTATTCATACAGTAGGCACTCAATAAATGTGTAGTGCTGGCTTGCTCTTAACCAGTTCCTATATGTCCTCATTAGACCTTTAGGATTGTCTGAATCAAATCCAAATCCATTTGATATATTTAAGCTGGTTCTAACTTTTAGATGAAATTTATTTCTTAATTTCTCATTATAAATTGTCATTTGGGCTGTCTCACCTTCTAGTAGGAATCTGGTCTCAGTGGCACCTAGATCTTGTCCTTGGCGTATATGCTGCTTTCCATTGGCCACATCAGACTGAGATTACTTCCTGTACACATTGTGGAGATGTTATGACTTTGGGCAAGTCCTTTAAACTTTTTTGTGACTCCCAGTTTTTTCTTCTTTAAAATGAAGGGGATTACATATAAGGTTCCCTCAGTTCTAACATTCTAAAAACTCCACTTTCTGGTCTGATCGGTGATTCTAGTGTTCTGTTCATTAAGAAATCTAAGATGACAGCTCAGTGAGTGCTCTTTTGTGGCTTATTCTACCCACTTTCCAGGTCAGTGTCAATGACTCATCTTTCTAAATGAATGATCTTTTTCAAAATCCTGTCACTGAAAGTTTACAGTAGAAGAAATTGTGTGTGTATGTGTGTGTGTGTGTGTGTGTGTGTGTGTGTGTGGAGAGAGAGAGAGAGAGAGAGATACAAGCATCTGAAGGAAGGGAACACGCCTAATGCTTGGAAAAACTTATAAGACAGAACTTATTACCAAAAGAAAAAAAAATTAAGCAAGAAAATATTAATAACTACCAATCCATACCAGCCCTCTTTCTCATCTGTGCAAAATTTATATGAGTTTAATCTACATATTGAGATCATCTTTAGTGAAGGTATGACAAAGGAAAAATGACGGTTTTGCAAATGATAGCAGAGTAGTTTTACAGAAACATGAATTACTGAAACACATAAGGAATACAAAATCCCACTATTTATGTTATTTTATTATTTTTAAAAAAGCATTTAATAGAAGAGAAAACATTGCTTTAAAGGCTGTCCAGACCATATGCATATTCCAGTGAACTAACAGCCATTTATTGAATACTTACTGAAGTGCCATGTACTGTGTCAAACACTTGGAATACAATTGCAGAAGTGAACTTATCCTTGCCCTCAAGGACCTTATAGGCTATTAGATATCAGAACCACTTAAGATTCCTTGAAAGGAATAACAATAGAGATGACTTTGTTCACTATCTCTCTGATTATTAGTATCGAGTGAGGCATAAAACAGGGAGACACATTCACGAGAGGCGTTTTCCATCATAATGGAAGATGTGCAGCATTGGGTCTAAATAGAAGAGGGATACTCTGTAAGTTGTGTAGTTCCCCAGACAGCCATGTTTGCCAATCACATTGTGCTTTTCCCATCACGGCCCACAGCATTGCAGAGCTTCCCAGATGAGTTCCATAAACTCTCAGCCTAACTATCCACAGGAAAACCGAGTAGATGAAGAATGGCCATTGTCTAAAGAATGATATGCAATTGGCTTGACAATCCATAGATCTGGTCTAGCAATGTGTGAAATTGGGACAGAAAATGAAAATGGACAATAATCTGAATTGTCTTTGGAAAATCATAGATCTTTTTAATGACTCCAAGGTTTTCCTTAAAACAAAAATTCATCTTTTTAACATAAATATTCTGGTGATTCTGTATGGTGGTTGTCATAGAACATTAAATGTCTAAAGAATTAAATTAAAATTGTCGGTCTCCCAGAGAATCTTAAAGAGGCACATTGTAGTTATAAGTCAGTTAAGACTGATGAAGAATTATACTAGAAGTGTAAGAAATGTCATCTAATATAAATGACAACCAAAGGAGGTGGACTGGTCATGTAGTGAGAGCAAGAGATAACTTTCACAGTCCATTTTCTCTGCTGGTATTGATGCAATGCAGAAAGACGTAGGAAGAGGCCCATGAGCAAATTGTATGGATTGCTTCCTGACCCCACTCTCCCCTTTGAAAGGTTTCAGGAAAGTCAGAGACAAGAGGCATCCAAGACAAGAAGGCATTTGAGGTAGTGCTCACATGAGGTCACAGATCCTTTGAATTACTGAAGTAATCTTAATAGACTCTGTTTGCCACCAGTAATAGAAGAGTAATCTTGTGACAGTTTTAATTGAAGAATTTCCATAGCAGGAGAAGTTTCTAGTTAAAAATAGGTCTGTAACTGCCACATTTACAATTAATTATTCCTCCCTAGTTCTACATGCAACTATACAGTTATAATAAAGATACTAATAGTTTACTCCTTACATTAAGGAAAATGGAAATCTCTGTTCTGGTGTGCAAATAATGAGTATTAAAATATATTGGCAGAATTTACCAAATTAACTGTATGGCTCTGTTTCTAATGAAATTAAAGTTCTTTTTAAATTAGCTAAAAATTCTTAATTCTTTATGTAAAGAAACAAAAGGGATATTTTGGGTTTTGTGTGCATGCCTATCATTGCTCCAAACACAAGTGAGTTTCCATATATATGTGTATGTGTTTGTGTGTGTGTGTATTCCTCTTAAAGTATAGTCTATCATTCTGCTTGATTATAGGAACTCTTGTAACAAAAATTAAATAATAGCAGTATGAAAAATCTTTGACTAACTCTTTCAAAGTGCACCTTTCCCTCAGTACATAATTCTTTAATGAGGGTTACACAGACACACCATCTCTGCATTATAACACAATATATGCTGCAGGAATCATAACAATGAAGATATGTACAAGATGTATTACTTTCCCCTCCCCAATCCCCCAGATATTCCTTGTTGGATTTTATCACATTATTTAGTAGCAGACAGGTCAAAATCCAAAAATACAAAATGAATTGTAGCAGCTTTTATCTGCTCATAGTAAATTGATAAAAAATTAAAAACCTCATTATTAGCGATAGCTTGCTTTGGAGCAGTTCTAATTATCTTGGGGCATTTGACAAACTTTGCATTCATTTCATTGTGAGGTACAGACTGGTTCTGTTTTATATAAAAATGAAACCCCATATTGAGGTATTCCTTTCCACCCCAAAGGGCACAATGGAGTCACACTAAATGAAGTACTTAATTAACATTAGAAGCAAATAGAGGCATTTGAAGAAATTGTGAACCTTTGGGCATCTTCCAGAACATGAATGAAGAAGTAGGGTGAAGTGGGCTTACGTGAAAAATAGCACTGAGACCTTCTTTGACAAAGTCATTTCAGAAAAATGTATAGTTATTATAGCTGGATAAAGTCAAGAAAATGAGCTGATTTCACTCACTATAAATTTCTTGTGCATGAATAACCTCGGCAGGGCCCTCATTGCTTCTCAGCAGTCCTCTTACTGGCTCTTTCTCATTCCCCACAGAAGCTGTTCCAAAACTTTTCCTTTCTTCTCAAACCCCTAATCATAACTTTACTCCCTATACTTATAAGCAACCTCCCATTTCCCTGAGAAAATTGAGGTGATAGCACATCTCAGTTTCTTGACATCATCATTCATGTTTTTCTGTCTCTTCCCTTGTCTCAGAGAAGACATGATCCTTGCTAATACTAATGCCTCCCCCTATGCCTTTGAGTCATCACTACTTCCTGCTTCATCCAGAAATTTATTCTAGCATTCATCCCTCCTCTTTCATGTATCTAACCTCTTTCTCTTTACTACTTTTTTTCTCAGTTTACATTCTCAGAACTTTCCAATCATCAGCCTCTAAAACTTAATAACTGAGATTCTCTTCTTTTCCCCAAACCTTTCTCTTCTTCTGAATTTCCTGTTTCTGTTAGTGGCAATAACTTTCATTCAGTCCTCCATGTTTGAAATGTTGGTATTATTTTCCTTCTTTTTTTTATTTGTTTTTGTTTTTCATGTACTTGCCAAGTACTGTTGATTATACCTCTGTATTATCTCTTGCTTCTGTCTACCCTTCACTCTTCCGACCTCTAGCACCTTAATACAGGCCATCATTACCACCCACTTTGACTATTATACAGTCTATTAACAAGCCCTCCCACCTCTGATGAGATTACGTCTCCTTATTTCGTACCTCACTTGATATTAATTACCAGAGCTGTTAAGCAAAGTCAGTTTTGTTACATCTTTCAAAATCTCATATTATTTTTATGCCTAGTAGAAGATAAATTTCTTGAGGACAAAAATGGTTTTACTTTGGTATCTGTATGTATAGATATAGATATAGATATAGATATAGATATAGATATAGATATAGATATAGATATAGATATAGATATAGATATCCCAGTGGCTAGCACAGTACTTGACACATAGTAAGTAGTTATTGATTGACACATGCATAAACTTTGATGAAGGAGAGCCTGTAAAGCAATGTTTTCCTCTACCAAATCAAGTGCTCTTTAGCTGTACTTTTTCAAAAATAAAACAACAAAGAGTGAGATCTTATATTCTCTTTTACTCTTATAATTCATCCTTCACAGAATACTTGAATGACCTTGCTTATGAATATATTAAGTTGTGTCATTCCACTGCTTGAAACCAATCAGTTGCTAACTCTAGCCTATGAAGTAGTCTCAAATTGTTAACATGGCATTCAAGAGACCTCACACTCTGGCGCCATTTTACCTGTCCAGAAGTATCCTACACTATTTCCCTCTGCATACCCAGTACAGCAATAAGACATACCCCAAAGTGGACTGGGATGCTTCAGAAGGTAGTGAATTTCTCTTCTCTATGACTTCAGGCAAAGCTTGGATGACTCCTTATAATGTGGTCCACTGTACCACTAATAAGTGGTTACAGTATACCACCATAACCACTTGGGTTATGTGGTAAAGGAGATTCTTGTTTAGGTACGGGTTGGACTATTTGTCCCCTGAGGTCCCTTCTTACTTTGAGCGTTATTGATTCTGAACTATTCACTATCTCCTATCCGTAGTTTATGCCTTCATGTTTCATGACTTTACTCATATTGATCCCTATGTTTATCTCTACCTCTTCAATCCTTTACTATCTCTTAAAGGTCAATTTAAAGGTATCTGTCCTCTTCCATGAATCCTTCTCGACACCTCCAATGAGTAATGACTTCTCCTTTACATTGCATTTTCCCTTCCTTATACATTTATTCTGTATTTTGTTGCATTATAATTATTCATAAATCCCCTTATTGAGAGTCAGTATTTATAGTGGATAGAGAATCTTCCCTCCAAACCAGGAAGACCTAGGTTCCGATCCCATCTCATCTCTCAGTGCCCCAGGCAATTCTCTAACTCTCTAAATTACAGAAAAGGTGCTGAACTTCCTGGAGAGTGAATGTTACTTCATCCAGGAGTTGCCTACAGCAGCAAAATCACTGGTCCAGTTCTTATCCCTATCCTATCCCTCTGAAGACTTGACTGTAAGGTCCCTGATGGCAGGGATCCTATCTTAGCTAAAGATTTTGTGCTTTCCATGAAATAGATGCTCAATACATGTCAGTTTCATATTGAGTTGAATTTGAGTGCTTCATAAATATATTTATAAACTTTCTTAAACTTATTTCTTTCTTGGATTGCTCATGGTTTATTCAAATCTAAAGTTGTTCAGTTGAAATACAACCTTGTTAATATCTCTGAAAACAGCATTGAGGACAAAGCAAAATTGCAAAAAATAAAAATGGGGTATAAGATGCCTTAATCATAAATACTGCATCTGTTGTTTTCTTGTTGTGGTGGTTTCTTGTTCTTTTACAACCTGCTGACCTGAATATCTAAAATAAAAGTATTACGGTTCTAGACCAATTAGAGTACAGAATGGTAAAAAGTTAAGGTTATCTAGTAAAGACATTAATTGCCTTCCTGTTGAAGTAACCCTCCATTTTCCAGGAAGAATGATCTCAAAAAATACAAAAAAAAAACCTAACAGCTAGAATAAATACTGGAATGATTTATAGAAAAATTAACATAAGCCATCAGGCTCTAATGTTATGAAAGCTGTCCTGTTAACTGAATAAATACTAGATTTATGTACCTACTCTTCATGGTTCTCCCATCTATACCTCTCAGTAGAAGACATTTTATGCCAGAAAAGCAATCTATGATGGTATGCATTAATTCTTCCCATATTGTCCAATCATTGAATGGATGCATTTTGGCACTTAGACAAGAAAACAAGATCAGAAAGGTATCCATCATTGTTGGAAGCATAAAATACATTTTTTCTAAATTAAAAGGGTCTGATATATACACATACAGATGTGTACCTATATTTATATCTTTACATAAGTCAATGTGAAGGTTCTGATGCCTTCACTGGAGCTCAAAAATGCATATGCTTATACATTTTAGCTGTGCATCTTCTTACCTGTGCTCTACAAAACAGTCAATTCACTGAGTTATGGCAGATATTATGCTTAGCCATTTCATACTGTGTCTCAGAACCCAAATTAGTTTCATTCTTAGAACAATACATAGTTCACTCTGCACACACAGGATTAGCTGAAAGGTAGGCATTTGTAACAACACCTATGACAGCTGTTGTTTCCTTCAATAGGTAATAGAGTTTGATGATGGATCCGGATCTGTTCTCAGAATTCAACCTTTACGAACTCCTCGAGATGAGGCAATCTATGAATGTGTTGCCTCCAATAGTGTTGGAGAAATAAGTGTATCTACCAGGCTCACTGTTTTACGTGGTAAGTGAAATTGTTGATTGATTATATTACTGTCAATATTTGGTGATATCTTCTCCTACCCTCCTTCTTTGATGGGAGAGGGAGATCTGAAAAACAGAAATAGCACAATCTCGCTAACTACATTATAAATGGATCACAATAGGATTCAAATCCACCAAATATTCTTAGAGTTTAAATTCTCACTCACTTATCCCTTTCCTATTAAGGTAATTCCTACTCCTATTCCTAATCCCTGTTCCTTTAAGGTAAGGATTGTTTCCTCTATTTTTGACCTTAGTCATCTTCTCTTTTACTATCCTTTGATAATGCTAATTTTTTTTTCAAATCTAAAGGAAGTTCTAAATAAAAAGGAGAAAAGAAACACAAAAATAAGTAAGCAGGGCCATTTCTTAAATTTAGTGTTTTGTTTTGTTTTTTCCCCAAGAGAATTAGGAGTAATTGGGAGAGTTGTGAGGAAGGGTTAAGTTTTCATGTTATTGCTACTCCTGGGCTGTTTTTAAACTTATGCAGTAAGCTTGTATGATACAAATCACTTCAGTGGACATTGTCTTTAGCAAAATTAGAGGCTTGATTGTTGGGTCAATATGTTGCCTACAAATTTTTTTTTCTCTTTTGTTGGATGCTTATTCTATCTAACTTGATCTCTTACTACTATTCTGTTGCTTCTGTAATTAATTCAACATAGGATTTCATGCCAGCACTACGGTACAGAATGTCCATCCTGGACTTATTTCAGGATGACTGTGCTCTAAAATAAGTGATAGTGACAAAGATATGTCCCATTCTCTAATTCAATTTTGTGTCACAAGATAAGAACTTTATTTTTTCTCATCTGGCCATGTGGCCCTGGGAAATTTGCCTGCTAACCCTTTCTCCATGATACACTGTAGCATCTTTTTTTTTTTGACATATACCAGCAGTCAAGACACCAGGCTTACTGAATTAAGATGGGGAAAATTGGGAAATGTGTATGAAAAATCTAATAATCAGAGCTGAACCTGTAAAGATTTGCATGGATATTTGATTTTTAAAGCTATTAGTTTTTCAGCCTCCAATTTTTCCCCCTTAAGGGATTCATTTACTTTATTTTTTCATGAAATTAGCAACAATTTTGTTTCCTGCTTTTTGTGGTAACCAGAGATTTAAAAAGCAGCAACATCCTGCTCCCTCTGCACAAAGATCAGCACCTCCTGTTGATGTTGGCAAGGTCCCGGCTCTGGGAGGAGGGCTGATACTAATTTCGTGGGCCAGATTTACCTGGTAGATTGGAAGGAAACGCATGCCATAAACTACTCAAGCAGCTTAGAAAATCAAATTATTCAATTCTACAGGCAAAATGCTCAAGAATATAAATAAGCATTTTATTAACATGAAAGTGAAAGGACTAACCAACCGAATTTTCAGTTTTTCAAATTCACTTTCTACATACTGTAGAAAAGTATATCCCCTTAAAATTTATATTATGAAATATATGCATTTTATTATTTGAATATACTTTGTGAAAATCATCCAACCGAATAGAACCTTCTTGAGATCATAGCATTTTGTCCTCCCGTAGAAGAAGCTTCTGAACCATCCAGCATTTCTAGACTGCCACTCACCTTACTATTCTCCCCTCCCCTCAATTCCATAAGAGAGAACCTGGATTTGATGGGGTTTGTTGTTGTTGTTGTTGTTTTTGTATCTCCAATATCTGGTGCATAGTAGAGATTTAATAAATTATTGTTGAACTAAATTAAAATTGAGATTGTGCTTGGACGTTATGATTTTATTTTTCTTACCTAAAACAGTGTTAAATACATTGGCAGAATATATTTCTGCATTTAATTTTGTAACTAGATGCTAGCCTCAGGGCTTTACAGGATGAATAACACCTGTATACAAATATTTAACATATAGAGAGTTATGTGAATGACTTTTGATTAGAGAGAGTATGTGGTAAAATATGTCCTCCTTTCTTAAAGGATATCCTCCTCTTCTAAGGTGGAGACTCTTTTTCTTTAATAGCAAGAAGAGTTCAGAGGATGGGAGGAAATACTGAGAAATAATTGTAGTATTTGAAAAAAAAGATATCCCTAATTTTAAAAAACTGTGATGAACTGTGTCAGGTATTGATAATGTGCTGAATATTCCTTATTGATGACTTGGAGACTCTTCGGTGTGATTTCCAACTTTTACTCTCTGAAAATGTGTCCATATCAGTTAAAGAGGGGATTGGGTTAGATAACTGCTAAAATTCCTTTCAACTTCTATTCTAATCTATCGGTAAATGCTTATTAATTAACAAAGGAAAATTAAATGACAACTCATACATTTTGTTCAAAAAAAGATTGGAAGGAATAGCTGTTTTACTTCCCTTATTAAAATTTCAAACAAATCATTATCATGTTGTTGTGTTTAAGCATAAATTACTTTGAATTCAATAAGATAAAGTTAGTATATTGGAAATCCATTTGCTTTTAGATGTCAGTAATCACTGTGTTATCCTTAATAAAAATAAAAACAGAATTTCCATTGGAAACTAAATCCAACAGGTGAACAGAAAGTTTGAGGAAGAAGCAAGATGCCTTTGTTTTGAGGAAAGGAAAAGAATGTTTCATTACTGTAGGATAGGGAGGAAATAAAAGCTTGTGTCACTTGCTACCTCTAGTAATTAAGTTTCTCATAATGAAATTTGCCCCTAGAATACAGCCTTTTTCATAATCCAGAATTCTTAATAATATTTTAGAGAGGTTTTTCACTGTTTGTTTTTGAAGTTCCAAAAGTAATTTGTTTGTAGTATTCTGTTATTTTAGCAATTAAGATAATTCCTATCTTTTGAATGGTGGTACATATCAAATTCTTATCAGACTTGATAGAGACCCAGCAACAGTGCAAGTTAACAAACCTGCTAACTGTCTCATGCAGAACAAGAAATTTACTTTCAAATTAGCAAATAAACACTAAATAACAGTTGAAAATATAGTCATTACATTAAAAAAAAACAGAGGATTGTGACTAAACATTTAACAACCTTCTACATTTATATAGTGCTTACATATCTAGTTGTTTGTTTGTTTGTTTGTTTCCCTTACATCACCTTCATGGAGTATAGGCATAGTTATTTTCTCCCATTTTATATATGAGGAAACTGAGATTCTGAGAGGTTAAATGTTTTCATTAGGTTCACATAATGAATAGTTACAGAGCCAAGATTCATATGATATTATACTGGCACATTTAAAAGACCTTTAAATGTAATATTATCACAAAATCCAGAAATTGTCTCTGTTAGCACTTTCAGACACCAAAAAGGTTTTAGATGATCTAAATTGTGAAAAAAAAATTGCAAATTAGAGAAACTTTCCCCAAAGTAACTTAATCTCTCTACAAGGAGCCTAACATACAAATAAAAGTAAATTCTTATACAGGACAAATAACTTGAAATGACACAATGTGTACATGACATATTTCACAGAAAAATTGGGGAATATTTAGCATTATATTGTGGCTTACATATTTCCAAATTTGCTTTCATGATGTAATAAATCCTTCTAATTGTACCATTTTAATATCAGAATTTGGCAATAAGTGAATCTGAGAAATTGATAGAATATATTCTCTGTACAACAATAAGTCCTCCATACAGCTTCCAAAGGATTTTCCTAAAACATGAGTCTGACCCTGTCACTCCCCAACTCATTAAATCCCAATGAATCCCTATTACCTCCAGGATCAACTAGAAGATATTGGTTTGGCATTTGAAGATCTTTGAAACTTCATCCTAGCCTACCTTTCCAGCCTTCTTACATATTACTCCTTTGCCTTCAAAATATTCCTTACATATGACACTCCATCTCCCATCTCCATGTCCTCTCATTGGCTAGACCCCACCTTCAAACCTGGAATACTCTCAATCCTCACTTCTTGCCTTCTGGAATCCCTGGTTTCCCTCAAGAGTCAGTCTCTGTCTCTCCTTCTGTCTCTCTCTCTCTCTCTCTCTCTCTCTCCCTTTCTTTTCCCACCTAAATAAACAAAATAAGTAGTTCCTCCTTGCTGCAGGAACTGCCTCAACTTGTACAGTTTCTATGTAATTTATTTGATCAGTCGTCTGAGTAGCCTTCAGGCCTGGAATGTTTCCCTTACTCAAAACCAGTATTGTTTCCACCGCATTATGGTGCCCTTCATTTTGTCTGCATTAAGACACTACATATAGCTGGTTCTCTTAGCTATAGCCTTTCAACAAGACTTCCTCATATTATCAATCAAAACTAAATTGCCCTGCTATCTCTGTGTATTTAATGCTGGCTGCCTACTATTTACATACATTCATGTGCAACTCACAAGTGCTCAGTTTTCCACAGAGTGTACAAAATGTAATCCATTTGAAATTTACATGCCAGTTATGGGACAGATGTTATTTGTTTCAGAAAATGCATCCATATTTATAATTAATTTCTTATGAGAAATGCAGCATAGTGTATGGGGAACCATCTTTGGTTCAAGTCCTTCCTCCCATATAGCATGACTGTATATCCTTAGGTAAGAACATTTCCCTCTCTGTGACTCAGACAACTATCCAGGAATAGACATTGTAAAATAGTTGCCAGAGAGTTTCCTCACTAGAAATTCCCTGTTATCAATGGAATAACAAGTTTGTCAAAAATGAAAACAGAAACTAAAACAAAAACATGGGCAAAATTATAGGGCATTTGTCATTGGATGAAAACACCTGAGGAAATTTATCATGATTGGCATGCTAACCACTTGCACTGTGGCCTTTACAAAGTGACAGGTCCAAAGAAGAGGAGTTGAGAAGAGAGTTAGCTATCGATGAAGATTGAAGCTGTTGTAGAAGCTCTTAAAGATTCCGTTTTTTTTACTATTTCCTTCAGGCATCTTGGAGATTACAGCAGGTGGGGGGGAGGGAGAGTAGAGCAAAGGAGGAGAATTCTGTCTCTTCCTCTCCCAGATTAGCACTTACATATTGAATTAGAAGAACACACCAGAATCCAGCTCCT